ATTATGGTAATGTGTACATATATGTCTGCTATCTCACTTTACTTATGTTGGTCTATTGTCGATATACATGTGTACATATTACAAAGTGTACACAAAATAACTTGTCTACTTATCTTACTTCTAATTTGTTCAAGTTTTTACATGTGTACACGACATAAAGTGCACACACATCTCGTTTGTTATTCTTGCTCAAAAAAAATTGGTCTTACATGTTGGTGTTTATGCATTGGTATATACGTGGACAATATTATACAAGTGAATCATTATACATGATAATAAAAATGTTGTGTACACATGGACATTATATGGTTGTACTTTGAAACTAGCAAAATTATCCAATTAGATAGTGTGATAATATGGTAATGTGTACACATATTATGATAATGTGTACACTTATTTATTACGAAATTTTTTTGACAAGCATCAAATGTCAAAGTTGACCATTGTTGTTATCAAGCTTCTCATAAGTGGTGAATGTAACAATAAAAATCACGACAGTGACAACGGTTTTGAAGCAAGAGCAGAGTAAGGAGACGCGAGAAAATGTAGACGTCTTCGTTGAAGCTTTAAACGATCACATTGTTAACGTCATATACATCACGATTATATAATCTTCATAAATATATCTTGACATATCTTAAAAGATAAATTAAATAATGAAGATACTAATTAAATACATGTTTTAAAAAAAAAAATATTTCTAGAACTATATAATTCATTTACAGAAAAAGGTAAAAAACTCAAAAAAAAAAAATGAAAAAGAAAAATATATGGGACCCACTTTACTTGTCTTGTTTATTAGGAAGAGTAATAAGTAACTGAATAGTTAGAAAATAGAACTAGAAGAAGAAAATGTTAGGATAAAGTACCTTAGTAGAAGAAAGTGTCTTTTCTTGATATTAAAAACACAAAACTGCCTTTGAGTGATATATTTTCTTATATAAAAGGCTTTTATATAAGATTAGAGCATCTCCAACCCCACTCCAAATTCCATTTTGTAGTAAAATCATCTCCAACCCTACTCCAAAATTCACTCCAAAATGGAGTAACAAACATGATTACTCCAAAATGGAGTAACAAACATGATTACTCCAAATATGGAGTAAACCAACTCACTACTCCAAAATGGAGTTAATTTTTTTTATTTATAAAATAGTCCTCCACATTTATATATGTTTCGCTTTTAATAAGATATTATTATAAATAAGTATATTAATATTATTTTACTATATATATTATAAATTTTACTGTTAATATTTCTCAATTATATAATTAGCCTCGTCTTTAATAAAAATATTATTATAAATAAGTATATTAATATTATTTTACTATATATATTATAAAGTTTACTGTTAATATTTCTCAATTATATAAATAGCCACGTCTTTAATAAAAATATTATTATAAATAAGTATATTAATATTATTTTACTATATATTATCAAATTTACTGTTAATATTTCTTAATTATATAAATAACCATCTGATGAACTCTTTTATGCAACAAAATATATATAATATAAAACATAAAAGATCATACATATAGAAAATGAAAGATAAGCACCATACAAAAGAAATAACATAAAATAAAACTTACAACAAAGATAATTGCTTAATAATCCGATAAATCATTTTCGGATCCATTAAAATTAAAATAATCCGATAAAATATTATTAAATTCTTACATGACATGATAATAGAAGATGATTGTGATCTCGAGGTGCCAATTGAAGTTGAAAAAGAAATCCTTCCTAGGAAAGTTGAAATTGAAGGAAATAATAATGTGAGGTTCCAAGAGTTTCTTTCCCGTTTCAGAGAAATCAAAGATAAAAAAGAAATTATTCTAATTCTAATGAATAATTTATAATTGATGTATTATTGTGTTTAAGCTATATAATGTAGTTTTTAGTGTATTAAATGTTTTCTTTTAAAACCTTGTTGAGTAGTTTTATTTATATAATAAAAATTTAATTGTGATTATTATTGTATTTAATAGAAATGCTATAAATTGAAAATAGACTGATTTGCAAATAGTATAAATGAAAGGTGATATTACTAATTTGAAATAAATATAAAACATAATATATTAATAATATTTTTTTTGGAGTAGAAAATGGAGTAATACATTGGAGTAAAACTCAACTGCATTTTGGAGTTACTTCATTTTGGAGTAGGAAATGGAGTAATACATTGGAGATGCTCTTACAAAAAACGGCTACATTAAGTTTTTTTTTTTTTTGACAACGAACGGACGATCTATTACTCAAGCATGAGGTGGTCTGAGAATCCAGACCGGAATAGAACAACCAACATACATGAGTTCTCGATAAAAGGATCGGATACATCATTCAGAGATCTAGGGACATAAGTAATCTTGAAGTCTGGGAAACAAATCCTCAACGTCGAGATCCTCTCCAGTTCCGTCGAAAAACTTGGCCATCCATGAGGATTCGTGAGCATTGCTACCAATTCCTTGCAATCCGTCCCAAAGCTCTGACATGGCGAATGTTGAAGCATGTTCTCCATTGCCCACAGCAGTGCTTCCAGCTCAGAATGCAAAGCCGACTCCACTCTACTCACGTTACGCATCCCCATCAACTGACTATCCCCCGTGCTGTCCTTCCAATCCCAACCACATCCGGAGAATTGATCTATAGAGGTTCAGGAGCCATCTATCATACAAATATCACGTAAGCTTATGGCTTGACTTTCAGTATCACCGTCCTCTTGTGTGGTCACAACTATTAACCTCTATAGGTGGAGTGTCTGATTCTATTAACCTCTATTTATTTTCATATACCTTTAGTAATTAATTTTTCTTAATTTCTTATGGCTGACATTGTATATATAGATAAAATTTTATAGGGGAAAGGAAAACTGAAAATATAAACCAAATTTTTTTTTTCTCCGTATTCTTTGTGAGTTCAATGTTGTTTACAGGTTGGGACATGATTGTGTGTGTGGCGATGGGAGTCACTCATCTTTTCCTATGGGCAAGATCGGCCGCTATTTCTAGACATCCTTCTAATTGGAAGAAGTAGGTGGTTGTGATAGCTTCAGGCTTAGCTATGGTTTTAGAGATATATGACTTTCCTCTCCGTATGAAAGGCTTCGAAGCTCACTCTATTTGACACCTCGCCACAGTTCCTCTAACCGTTCTTTGGTGGAGCTTTATTAGAGACGATGTTGAGTTCAGAACTTTCAGTCTTCTCAAGAAAACTAAGACAAATGCAAAGTAAGTTTACTTACAGATGCAGAGGTTTCTTGATTTTTTTTTCAATATTTTCTATTTGGAGATTTGTCTTAACCTTGCTTTTGGTCAATTGAGATTTTGATATTAGTTTGTCATTCATACGCATTTTTTTGCCGATATTTTTAGAGTCTTAAGACTTTTGTTAATATTATAATCTTGTGATCCATATATGATTGTGTTAGCAAATACTTATTTTACTTAAGTTGTGTGAAATTTATAAGGTTTAATTTCATCAAACAAAATTGAATAAGTTTAATAAGTTTAATAAGCTTTAATGATCATTGAAACCAAATTATCAAAGAATTCAAAAGAAAAATAAGAGTCAAGTTCTATACATAAATTAAAACTACACCTTCTATATGTAGCTCAACATAATAATGTGTTTTCTTTTGTATTCTAAACTCAGTTTTGATATTCTAGTAAATTAATCTAAATATTTATTATGAAAATGCAAGAACAAAACTATATCATAAACAACACATAAAAATATGGATTATTTTATATTCACACAAAAAAAGTAATTATGAATTTTAAAAAGTAATTATCCGCAAGTAGCGCTGAAAAACGATCTAGTATAGATTAAATTTTATAGGGGAAAGGAAAACTGAAAATATAAACCAAAAATTCATGTTTATCCTTATACAATTATACCTAGAGTAAACTGGTTCTTTTGTTGTAATGTTTTCTGAAAACTCAACATATCCATTGATTAATCATTTAAAATACAATTTAAAAACTAATTTTATATATTAAAAACTTAGTTTAAAAATAAAGCCAATTAAAAATTAAAAGATTAGCAAATAGGGAAATTAAAAAAAAATGCATATACTTTCAGTTGTATTGGACATAAGAAAATAAATTAAAAAGTTAACCAAAAACATTTTCCATATTTTAATCTGCATATACGGAAATAAACTAATCTCTAATTTTTGATTTTATATATTAAAATCATTTAAATGAAATTCAAAAACTAATTTCTATATATTAAAAACTAAACTAAAGCCAATTTAAAGTTAAATTTTTTTATGTATGGAAATAATAAATTAAAATGTATTGCATACATCATCCAAATTGATGAGCTGCTTGATCTATCTGAGTGAGAGGGGCAGAGATCGCGAGACAAGGGATTAGACATTTAGGGTTTAAGAAGGGTATTTTTTGTAATTTACATCCGAAATATCAAAAGATTTTTGGCATGCAAATTGGGCCTCCTACCTACATTAAGAGCATGTTACATTGAGGGTTCATAAGGGGTTTATAAGGGGTTCACACAGTTTTCTAGATGAACAGTGATGAACTTCTCTCTCTAAAAGTTCATCCCGATGAACCCCAAGAGGGTGAAGTTCATCACGTGTCGGAAGGAGATTGGTTCAATTAACCTTTTTTTAAAAAAAAAAAATCTGACAAAAAGAAAAAATAATAATAAAATATTACAAATATAAACCCCAAGAGGGGTTCATTGATGTACATGCTCTAAGTCACTGACTTTATTTTGCTTCCACCATAAAGTCTACTGCTTGCTTCATTTGGGAGATTTAAAACACATCTCCCTTTTGTCTTCCAGCAATATGAATAAATGTAGTTCAGAGAGCTCATGAGCCATTGCTTGGTTCCTTTCATTATATTGTAAAACTAATTGAGGATATATAGTCTTATATGATGGGACGAATGAACTTTATTATAAAATATCAGACAAATAGTATATAGAGTTTCACATGTTGCTATGATATTATGTTGTTACAGAGGTATCTCAAGGAAAATAAACACCACAGGAGTTTCAAACCTAACCGGAACAAAAACCAGTCACGGTTTAGTTGCAAGCTGCCAAATCTTGACCATCCCATCATCACTCGCCGAGGCAAGTAACCGGTTCTCCTCCTGTTTCAGAAAACAACGGCATGTTCAAAATCATAGATACTAATCATTATTTGGTAAAATACTTAGCCATAAACAAATGTCTCTATCATGTCCTCAAACACTGTCTACACCTCTCTGATCAGTAACAAATCTTTGATATTATGTTTTGACTTCTAACTTCTAAGCTACATTTAAATGAAACATAACATCATCATTGCAACCATACATTGACGTATGAGGTTGTATGCATTTGTGTCAATTACTTCATTTGAAACATGGAACTTACACTGGGTGACCATTGGACAGAGTTTACATCCATGTCATGTGCTTTTTCCTTCTTCAGTAACAGATTATATGAAGGTCCATCAGCCTGGTTACACAGACAAACAACGGTTGATATATATATATATATATATATATATATATGTGGAAAGAAGTAGCCAAAGCCCACACTGAGATAAAAGAAAAAAAAGGATTTCGGTTTTTGAAGTAAATTTTAAGGTGAAGTTTTCTTACAGAGTCATTGTTGCTGTCCACAAACAATCGTATAGCATCATCGCCTGCTCCACTCGCAATAATGTTGTCCCTGTCATTAGGTGTTAATACCTTCCTGGTAAACCATATTTTAAAGAAACCAAGAGAGGTGTTAATACCTTGACCAGTGAGCTGAGTATATGGTACGGTCATGATAACCAGAGAGTGTACAAAGATGAGTCCTGCAAATTCCAAGCAGATAGGTATTCCTTTAGCACAAGCTCTGAACTGTAAGAAAAAAAAGAAGAATAATAAACTCGATTCCATTATAGTCTCACCAAGGTGCATATCCTTCACCAGAGTGCATCATGGCAATATCTGTCTCCCATATCTTCAAGGTTAGATCGTCACTGCAAGTACAAGTAAAGCTCGATATTGTCAGAACAGTAAAACAGTATAGCAGACGAAGGGAGAAGATTTACCAACCTACAAGTGACCATCTTGTCCCCTGCAGCATTAAACGAAATGGCCCAAACAGTAGATGAGTGACCGCTGTGTGAAGAATAAAACGCACATATTAACCTGTCTATTAAGAATAGGCATATAAAGAAGAACATGAAGAGGGTGTACTTGTTGGATTCATCTAAGGTTTGGACACATTGATAATCACCATCATCATCTTCAGACCACCAAACCTGTAAGTAGCACGTAACTAACGTTAATAAATTATGATTTATATTTAACAAGTTTCAAGTTGTACATCCCTGTTAACCCAATCAGCATACCTTGATGGTGTTATCATAACTGCAAGAAAATAAAACATCCATAGTGGGATGCCACTGAACCATCTTCACATCTTGGGTATGTCCATTTAAGACGGAAGCACATTCATATTCATTCCCTCCTAGCACTTCCCAAATCCACACGGACTTGTCTCTACTACAAGTTGCAAGGTATGAACCAGATGCATTCCATGATACACTCTTGACTTCGTTTTCATGTCCCTGCAATTACAATTCCATCCATATATATATATAAGATTGTACTACTAGCCAATGCAATTACAAGTCAAGTAAGTACCTCCAAAGTGGAAATACACTCAAACTCATCTCCAAAATTCTCCCAAATGGCAGTGGTACCATCAAAACTTGCAGTGGCCAGTAACTTCCCTGAAGGTGACCAAGCACACGACCTCACAGTTCTTGTGTGTGTTTCTTCCAAAACTGTCTGCACAATCACAACACCACAAAGGACACGTGTCATATAAACAATAAAGCTTTGGCCTTTGGGGGGTCAATTTAAAAGGTGAAGAAGCAATAAAATTCAGGAACCTTGCAAGACCAGGAGTGAGAGAGAGAGGTCTGTTCCCAGATGCGTACAGTGTTATCACCACTGCAAGAAGCAAGAATCGAGGAAACGGGGTTCCAGGAAACGTTCCAAACCCTATCGGTGTGGCCTTCAAGTTTGTGAAGCTCCACTAACTCCAACTTCTTCTCCATCTGCTCTCTGTCGGATCAATAGCTTAAGAGCCCCAGCGAGATTTAGTTTAAAGAGCTTCAGTAAAACTAATTTAATCAAAAACAAAGTCGAAACTTACGTTTGTTGATTCATATATATCTAAGGGGAAGACGTAAGGAAAGACTCGTTGAATTTTCCTCAAACTGTCTAAACCCTAGAAATTAAGTGTTTTGGGCCAACCAACCAAAAACACCCTTTTGGTTTGGACCAGGTCTAATTTGACCGGACCATACTCAAAGTTATTTGGGTATGACAGCATATTGTAAACTCTACTAGATTTTGATCCGCGCTTTTCAAACGCGGAAATTTTTATGATTAAAAATTTGTATATTTGGATTTTCTCTTAATTTAAAGAATGTTTTGGTATAAAATAAGATCACCAAAACTTGTGGTGATGATTGTTTTTCATTAGTTTTTAGTGTCAGTTGTTATTTTTAGATTTTGTTTTAGATTTTAGTTTTTTGTTTTTAGTTTTTATGTTTCTATTTTTGTTTTTTAGTTTTTATTTTGGGTTTTTAATTTTTAGACCCACTGAGTCAGTTTAAATTGATATTACCAACAAAAAAATCTCAAATAATCGAACATCTAATTTAAAATGAAAAAATGACAAAAAATTAAAAATAAATTGCAATAGTTTATTTTGTAAATAAACAAAAGCAAAAAAATATAACCTGTGCTTTCAGCTTTTGGTTTTGGATTTTAGTTTTTAAATTTGGTTTTTAGTTTTGCTTTTTTTAAATCAATAAATTATTTAGGGAAAATAAAACAATAAATTATTTAAAAGTTACCATTGAAATTTCAAAAAAAAATGATTGTTATTTAAAATAAAAAATACATTCACATGTTTTAAAGTACATGATTTAAATAAGTGTTTAATAATAGATAATTTTATTTTGTTAAAAATATTAAATATCTTTTGGACCTGAAAATAATAATTGATTTTTTGATCCATTAAGGTGGAAAGTTTATTAAATGTTTTTTGAATTTTTTCCTTAATATTAAGCCCAAAACCAAATCATATAATTTGTTTTAAAAACAAAAGTAATCCAAGACTATGGGGGTGATTGGTTGAACTGTAGATTTAAAAATTTTACTGTAGAATTTAGACTGTAGATGTTTTTGATGTAGTTGTAACTAATGTAGCTGTAGAAATTAAATGAAAAAAAAATATAAAAGAAAAGATATTCCTACAACAATCCTACAGCAATAATTTTTTACTTTAGAAAATAGGGTTCCTACAACCACTTTTCCATTTTTTTTACTTTAGCTTTAAAAACTACTTAAAGCATGATTGGTGATTTAAATGGTTGTAGATAAAAATTAAAGCTAAAGTCATTACTTACAACCCAACCAATCACCCTCTATATCCCATAAATAACCACCAGTTTAATTTAAGTAATGCGGTTCAATTAAATATATGGCTTGTATTATTTGTAACACTCTAGAAAGGGTGCAAATTTAAATGACAACTTGTATCACTAGATAAAAAGAATGACTCTATTTTAATAGAGTAGATGTTTCCCTAACGTGAACATTATGATATGAAAAAAAAAACAATTTATGCTATATATTATAGTATTAATCCTTTATATATTAATTAAAAAACATTACAACATGTTGTGATAACCATGTGTCATCACGAGAATGCTTATTAAATTTACTAGAGAAAAATGTTAGTCCATACAAATATATAATATATTTTTTATTAAACTAAGCATAAAACTATTATTAATGGTAATTATTATTTTCTTAAATAAAATTAACGAAATTACCTATTATGGTTATAATATATATATATATATATATATATATATATATATATATATATATATATATATATATATATATATATATATATATGAGAATTAATGATTTGAATATGAAAGATTTGATACAAAATTGTATAGCTTCTTTTTTGTGTTAAATTTATATTGTGAAAATAAATTAAACAATAACATTACCTATATAACAAAAAGATAGATTTTTTTATATATGTTACATTTTGAATTTTTTAAAACGACAATAAAGTAATAAAAAGTTATAAAATTCACATATAATATTTTGATTAATAGTTTAAATTTTATGTAATTAATGAGTAAGAAATATCATTTAATAGATATTTAAATTAGATGTATATATTTATATATATATATATATATATTTTTTTTAGTGATGTTTAAATTAAACTATTTAAAATACATAAATATTTAATTCCAAAATTTCATTGAACAAGTATTGAGAACTTAATACTTTGATGACAAATTCTGAATTTAATTTTTGTAAACGATGACAAATTACTGTATATATTAAATCTCTCACATTAAAAATGATGTTATCAATATTTTAATTTATTTTATAAATATATTCAAATGATCATAAACCATGTAAGTGTGAAGCTTCATTTATTAGATATCCAAATTAAAAGTATTATATATATATATATATATATATATATATATATATATGTTAATATCATTTATTAATTAGATTTACTTATATAAAGTGATTGTAAATAAAAAATATGATTATTTTATTAAATGCTCGCTAAATTAATCACTACAAGAAAACTCGTCCATTACTAGGACGGGTTTTCCTCGTTAGTTCCTAGTAAATGGCCTTTTACTAGGAACTTACGAGGAAACGCGTTTCCTCGAAACACGTTCATCGTAAAGACATTTTCCTCGTAAGGTTGTAGCGAATTTACGAGGAAAGTTTTCCTCGTAAAGGCGTGGTAATATTTTCCTCGTAA